GGGCGAGATCGACGATTTTCCGAGGCGCTCCTGACTATCCAGAGGCGAACGCGCCCAAACCTGAGACGACCCAGTCATGGTGCACGGGAACTGTCGGGGAGTTCCGCTACGACGCGACGCTAGGGTGCTGGCGCAGCTTGAGCAATATTCATTATGGGACGTTCTGCGCCTCCAAGAATTCACGGGAAAAGACCTGCCGAACCCCGAGATAGCCAGCCATGCATTCCAGGGCTTCCCAGTGGGAGGCGGAATAGGAGACCCTGCATGGTGGCGCACGAGACCGACGGCAAATGTGCGATTCGAGACGCCTGCGTGGCCGTTAGTGCGCACGCGCCGCATGGGGGCAGGCCGCGGAGCGTCTGCGCCCATCTCGACCCCGATTCTCGTAACCGCTCCATCCATCCACGCCCAAGACCTCCAAAACTGCGAACAGCTATTCCAACTTGCCCTGCTCCTGATCTGCGCTTTACCCTCGACGCCAACGTCCATTTCGGCAAGCGAAGACAGCCGTCGCGCGAGTTCGGACCGCGCGAGCTCGGCGCCCACAGCTGGAAGTCATTCTGCCTGCTGGAGTTCCTGACGTCGCGCGACATGGCGGCCGCCGAGGCGCGGGGCCGACCCGTCGCGGGCGCGGCCACATGCTCCTTCGACGGCCGCCACGAGCCCCGCCAGATCGACTTCGCCCCGGTCAGCCCCGGGCTCGCCCCGAGCAGCTACGACGCGCGGGCACGAGAGTCAGCGGCAACGAAGTCGGGCCACTGCCCGATCGCCCTACGTTTCTCCGCTGAGAGGCGCGCTCCGTTGCTCTTCACGCCACCCTGTCCGCATCCCTTCACTTCGAAACCAACTGGGCGGCAGATCGCTGATCGCGCCTTTGGTGCCCAGGTCGAGAATCGATTTGACGTGGAGTCACATGCCCCAGTGCTCGGGTCTGCTTTCGGACGTCCTGCGATGGCCATTTTAAGAAGCGCACGCGGACTCTGTCCACCTATGGCTGGGGTTCCGCTGTTTCCAAAGATCCCCATGGGACTGCCCCGAATTCGAAATCGCCCGGAATCAGATCCGACCCCGTGCTCGAAGCCCGCGGGCCAGCGCGCGCGGGCCCCACCTCCCAGGGCTTCCCCGGGGCCACCCGCCACTCCAACAATGCGGCGGACATGTCGAGCGCCATCGAGGCGGGCTTGCGGCTCCGAGGATCAACCGAGCCCTCAGGGCAAAACTGCACTGAGCTGGGCTCCGCGATCGAGGTCGCATTTGATTCCACACGCGAGATTGACATCCTCGAGAACACGATTTAACCATAGCATAACGCGGCGCTCGCCTCACCGTTGGGATGCGTCTGGAGTTTGGGTTTCCAGCGGTTCCGAGTCGTCTGCACCTGGGCCCAGGGTCACAGCGAAGTTCGGGGAAACGGCGTCGCCGACGCGCTGGCACATGGGGGAGGTCGCGCGAAATCTACCTGCTCGGCGACACGAACTCGAGTCTGACCGCATCCCACGATGCCCTCGTCGAACCGTCAGCTTTCGGACGCCGATAGAGGAGCTCCAGTTCATGTTTAGCCACGGCAGCGAGGCAGGCGCCACGACGCAGGAGCCTTTCCCGTTATTCCGCTGCGCCTGGGCCGATGTTCACGCGTGCCCGCGGGTCTTGTAGATGGCGCCGAGGCGCGCCCCACTCTCACAGGGTTTGCTTCGACGGTTACGGACGCGGCCTATCTCCGCGGCAAGCCGAAGCCCAGGGGGCCGCCCAGGACACCGAAGTACCATGTTCTACAACACCAAGTCCGCGAAGTTTAACGAGCCCGAGATCGCGGACCTGCCCGAGATCGCGCCCTTGGATTGCACCTCACGGGCCCCCCCGCGGAAATTGCAGGCGCAGAAACACGCAGCTAAGTTAAACTACTTTCTCCAAAAGGGCCGGGCGGAGAGGGGCCATGGAGGAGGCGCGGCGAAAGCGTTGAGGCCTAGGGGGGGGGGGGGGGGGGGGGCTGATCACGGACGCGGGCGAGACGACGGAGGAGGCAGCGCGCTGCTACCAAGGGTTTGTCAACGATGGAGCGGGCGACCACTGCCTCCCGAAGTGGGCGCGGCAACAGCGGCCGAGGGAGGCTGCGGCGAACCTCCGCGCCAGTCCAACGCCGCTCTTTCACGCCCCTGCCTGGCCAGGATGAGACACGGCAAGTCCTGCTCTCGCGACGATTGCAGCGCGGGCGAGACGCGTCAGAATCTAAGCAACGAGAGCCTTGGCATGCCGGGTGAACAACGTTTGCTGCGCCTGCGCAACCACCCCGGCGAGAGAAACTACCAGATTTTGGCCCGCCCCCTGGCTTCCCTCGTCGCGAAGTTCTGGGGGCGCGTCGGGCCACGGAAATAAACCGATTGCCATTTTCTCCGGTATGCTGAGGCTGCGCTCGATGTGCGCCGGGGCTCTCATCAATGTCCATGGCTTTGAGCCGTCGCCTGCCCAGTTCGCCTTCCGTCGAGGTTCCCAGGGCCATTTTGCAGCAGCAACAACGAGGTTCGTCGTCGAGGTAGCCAGGGAGCACGAGAAGTTGCTCCATGGGCATTGGAGGTTTCCACAAAGCACGCGATCACGTTCCCCACAGAGTGATCATTCCGAACCGTCGTCGCCGAAGGATCCTGAAAATTCGCGGCGGCGCCTCCGAGACGACCCCCCCTGGGCTTCCTGCGCCTCGGGCCGTGCCTCGGACGCGCTCGCACCTGCTCGGCGACCCCGAGGCCCCTTTTTGTCAGTTCCCTTTTGTGCGCCGACGACACTGCTCGCGAATGCGAAGCTCGCCGTGCATCCGATGGGACGAGGCCATTCACTGCAGGAGGGGGATTCAGAGGTGATGATACAGAACCAGCGGGGGGGGAAGGAGTTCGATATCGATCGCGAGCACCTTCTCCTGTTCGCCGACAACCATTTTACATGCGCCACGCCAGCGGCCATGCTGACGCAGATGATGACAGCGCGGCACGACATAGCGTGTAACAGATATGCTGCAAAGACCAAGCACGAAGAGTGCGACTGGATCTCCACGGCGCCTGGTCGTTGCACGATGGAGGTGGAACTCACAGAAGGATTGATCGGCAGGGTTCCCAGGGGCACAGGTATCAAGATTCTGGGCGCCCGTGTCCCGTTCGAAGGCAGCGCGGCTCAATTGCTCGTGGGCGGGCCACAATGCGCGCATGGATGGATATGATAGCAGTCGCCTCGTCCTCAAGCCCCTCGCTTGTAACAGTTAGAAGCATTGAAAACATCTCGAGACGACGATCGGATGCCAGGATCGCCAGCAGAAGCTTCATGTATGGAGGTGGGAGAAACAGTTTTACAAATTGTCGAGACGCCCGACTGGCAGCAACACGCCATGCAGTTAGACGGCTGGCAGGTGTACTCCGAGGAATGGTTGCGGTGGCGGCTGCAGGACATGGGAGCCCAAAAAGCGAAGAAATCAAAAATAGGAGGTGGGAAACGCAGCTGGATGTACTTATAGATGGCCGAGTTTGTAAAGATCCAGGCTTCTCTCTCCTTTGAATACATTGTGTTTACGTGTTGTTCTTTTTGCCAGACCCGGGCGCCTCCTAGATACACATTACCGTTTCTGGCGTCTCTCTTTGTCGGCTTGGGCCAGGGGCTACCTCCTCCGACCGGTGATGGTGTCGTCGTCGTCGCCGTGGCCTTCGCCGTCGCCGCCAGCCCGAAGTATCAGATCGACGTCGGCCTGAAAAGGGTTTCCTGATGTTCCTCATGTTTGCTGGATGTTCTTATGAATCCTTGGGGGCGATATTTTCGAATGTTCGTCAGTTTGGCCAGCGGAAGGGTCTCATGTTCATGAAGGATGTTCTTCTGTCTTAGGCCCAACCGTGCCCGAGACGTTCCCAACCACTTCTCCATGCAAGGCGACTACTCAGACAGAAGAACACATTGATACGCAGCACTCCTGCGCACGAAGCTGCCGACGGTTGTGCAGTTGGCAGCCTCGCTGGGATCCGCGAGGTTTCATCTGGGTCCGCGTGCAGCCTCACTCCGCTGGGCTTATCAAAAGCCGTCGAAAGTGGGGACAGCTGCGCAGTTGGCAGCTCGCGCAGGAAGCAGCGATGCTTCGCCCGGGTGCACGTACGACCCGACTCCGCCGGACCTCCCAGGAGCCAATAGTTGCGCACTTCGCAGCCACCCAGGGAGCAGCGAGGTCTCGTCTGGGTGCGCGTGGCCCCCGACTCCGCTGGACCTCCCAGGAGCCCACGAAAGTGGCGACAGTTGCGCATTTCGCAGCCACCCAGGGAGCAGCAAGGTCTCGTCTGGGTGTGCGTGCCCCCCGACTCCGCCGGACCTCCCAGGAGCCCACGAAAGTGGCGACAGTTGCGCACTTCGCAGCCACCCAGGGAGCAGCGAGGTCTCGTCTGGGTGCACGTGCCCCCCGACTCCGCTTGACGTCCCAGGAGCATACGAAACTGTCGACAGTTGCGCAGTTCGCAGCCACCCAAGGAGCAGCGCATGAGGAGGGGGAGGAGGAGAAGGAGTGGATACCGCAGCGCTCTCTTCAAAACGAGAACCCAACACGGGAGGGTTCGGAAAGATCTGACCTCCGATGTTTGTGAGTGGTTCAGCACGGGGCCCTGGGAGCTCTGGATCACTTCCCGGGCATCGGTTTTCCGTCCCGGAACGTTCTGTGACGCTCCCTGGGCCCGGCGAGGGGAGGAGGAGGAGGAGGAGGAGGAGGAGGAGGAGGAGGAGAAGGAGGAGGAGTCCCCAGACGCCGAAAACGACGAGAGACTTCCGCCTTGATGTCTCCACGTTGCACGCAGTGTAGCTCTCGGGCCACGCTTCGGGCATGCACTAGCCGTTCGGGGCGATCTGGGCCCCCCTGGAACGCTCTCGGCGAGTCGCCGCCGAGGGAGGGCACCCCGAGGCGGGAGAGCCGCCGAGAGCCTACGGGAGCGCGCTGTGGTTTCGGTGCGCGGCGTGCCTGGGCTCACGTCGCCGGCCCACCTGCGAAG